CTGTGCCTGAATTCTGACCAATCCTTCCCTAAATACCCTTCTGCTAAAGGTGCAGTTCTTGTGCACTCTCCAAAACACAGACAAGGTAAAATTATTTCTACATTAAAAAACCAAAAAAAAGTCTACATCCAAGGAGTTCTCTCTTTTGATATTTAAAACCCCACAATGGCTGTTTCTCTGTTTCTGTCAGTAGCTGCTGTTAGGGTTACTGAAGAAACAGAATGCTTATGGATACAGCATGATGCTACAGAGCCTCCCTTTCTTACAGAGAGCCAAAGGTGCTGTATCCACACCCTGACTGTTCAGGACAGAATCTGTACTGATGGAAACACAAGCACTGTGTGACAACATCCCTCAGAGGACCCTGGCAGAGTGTAAGGGAAATACTAGTGCCAAGACATCACTAATATCCAAATGGAAGAGTCTGAGTTCCATTAACACTGAAGGTAATTTCAGAGTCAAAAGACCAAGAGTCTTTTTTGCACCTGTACCTCTCTTCCAGGCTCATGTGGGGCTTTACTGTATTTTCCACTTTTTGCCAAAATTGATTCTTTGTGACCCATTTCCTTACCTTTGATGCATGCCTCCTTGTCCTTTTTGTCAATGAGCAGGTAACGGGGAGAGTCAGGGAAGAAGGGGAGGGCAAGAAGCTGAATGAGGGCAGGAACCACATTGGCTGCCATGAGCATAGGCCAGAGAGCATCTACTCCAAGAACTTCTCTGGAAAAAAAAGCAGAGTGAGAGGGGCTGAGGAACCATGTGTGCTGGCCATGTGAGCATACACAGACACAGGGTCATACCTCAGCCCTGCTGTCTGTGTCCTGGCAGCTCCCACCCGGGAGTCTCCAGCATTTCTTAGCACAGAAAAGTGAAAATCTCAACGGGAGGTGGAAGGGGAGAGCAGAGGGCCTTAGCCTGCAGCTCAGAGTTACACAGCATTGCCACCTGTTGCTCAGTGGTGAATGCTGGATCACCTGCATCCTCCTGCAGCAGCTGAGGGCCCACAGGGACCAACAGTGTCCTGGCACGAGTGCTGAAGGAAGAACCTGCAGTGGCTGATCCCTCTGTTTCTGATCCAAAGAAGCTCATGTTACAATTAGAACAAGATCCATAGGCTATGAGCCTGGTACTGACTGCCCCAAGTATCAGCCACTGTTTCCTGCAGCTTTGAGAACATTATGGCCAGAATGATGTGTGCCCTGGGAATGGGACAGACCATCTTTGGCACAGGACAGGCAGACAGAGCCTGTGCTGGGGGGGATGAATCCACCATAGGTGTCTGGTTTTGTGTGTGTGTTTGATGAGTGAGTGTGCCAGTTTGTGGAAGTTTGGATGTATCTGATATTCCCTGCTCCTTCTAAAAAAATGGAAAGTGTCAGTTCTTAAAAAGGCTGATTTCTTTCAAACCCATTGAAATCTGCTACAGGTTTTTAACTGTCTGTATTTTGATCTGTCTCTGCTAGGAAGCAACACCATTCATCAAGATTACATATGTTGTATGATTTCTGTTTCCCACTCACTAAAGTCAGGAATTTGGGCTAATTAAGTCTGACTGCCTAGGGTACCCTGCAAGCATGTCTGAAAACAGTTGCTGATTTGCCTGTCTATAGGCTTGCATTGATATATGGTTATATCTCTCTTACCTGAGACCCAGAGAAAATCCTACAAATTTTCCAGCAGCGATGGAGGTAGAAGCTGTCATGGCAATCATCCCACGGAGCTTCCGTGGGGCACATTCCCCAGCATACATGATATGGATATTCAGAGCTAAACCTGCAGTGACAAAGGACTGTTAGGGCAATGCAAACCCCCATGGATCAGGTGTTTTGAAGGAGACCATTATGGACAAAGTCTATAGGGGGAGGCTCTGAGACATCTTTTTACCTGTGCTATGTGCTGCCTGACATGAAGCATGTTCCCTGTACCGTGGCCTTGTGTTTTTGCTAAATATTTCACTAAGCAAGTATGTGCCCCTGGGAAATCTGTCCTTCATCAGGCTGTTTTTCTCTTACAATGCTTCTTGCAGCCACATGTACAGGATTGTGGTTACTCCCTTTAGTTTCAGATGATATATTTCAGTGTCTACTCAAGATATTATGTGCCTTATTTTGTGATTGAAACCAAAAAGTTGGTTTGCTGTACATTCCATTATGCTCTCTCAAGGCTTGTTTGCTGGTTAGTATTATCATTATCCAACTGCTCAGGGGTTGAAAACACTGAGAGAATGTAACCTTCTGAGGCATCTGGCAATTAGACTTGTTTGAGGTTTCTTATTTAGTTAAAAATGCATTCAGCAGTCATGTCCTCTGAAGAGTGCAGTAAAAATCTATGATCTATGATACTCAGACTGGTAAATCCTTGTGACTCTCAGACACTGCTCTTCCAACTATTTAATGCCTTAGGCAGGAGTGGTAATTTACCTCCACACACTCCAGAAAATAACCTTCCAGCGATGATCATCTCAAAAGATCCACACAGCCGGCTGAGTCCCATCAGAGCTGAGCCCAGCAGAGCAGGGATATTGGCCAGCAGCATGGCCTTCTTCCTGGAATTCATTTCAATTAATGTGAGCATAAATATTGACCCTGTGTCTTTCACAGCCTGACTGAAGTGACAGGAACTGTACCACAGCTACAGACTCTGTGTCCACTTGTGAGATCAGCTGCAGTGAAGGAAATGGGAAATGGGAATGGGAAAATGTTATCACGGACTGATAAGTCAGTTGAAAGTTTTGATGCCTCCAGTGAAGGACAAGCTTTGTGAGCAGTTGTCTGAAATTCCCTTTGAAATGCATGTTCTCTTTGTGTGATTTCCTTGGATTAGATTCACTTCAGACTTTATAAGGGAAAGGGTATGATTTTCTTTGTTATCATTGGCAGATTTTGCCATCCTGTTTCTTTACTGTACTACTGATCCTTCATCTGAAGCAGCTCTGGGCTGCTCACAGTGCCACTTTACAAGCAGTGTTTCTCCCAAGACACAGTCACTTCTTTTTGTAGTTGTGGGTATAAACAGAAAGACTAATGTGATCACTATTCCTACCTTCCAAACCTGACAGCCAAATATCCAGCAGATGAGGAGCCCAGCAGGCCACCGATGCTGTAAATAGACACAATAAAGGACCACATCAAGGTGACCATCTCCTCACTGAGAGAAGAGCCATATCTCTTCAGCCAGGTCTCACGGATGAAACTTTTGATGTACTTGAAAAGAAAAACACAAACAATGGACTTGGTCAACATATTTTTCCATAGCTGCACCTCTTTTTTGATTCTCTTATCCACTTACTGGTCTTTTTGATACATTTCTAACAATGCCTTGGTTGAAATCTTAGCCCCGATGAAATTAAAGGGAATTTTGACATTAACATCCATGAAGTTAATGTTTTAGCAACAAGGTGTAATGAATAAATATATCAATATTAAATATACTTGGTCAACATATTTTTCCATAGCTGCACCTCTTTTTTGATTCTCTTATCCACTTACTGGTCTTTTTGATACATTTCTAACAATGCCTTGGTTGAAATCTTAGCCCCGATGAAATTAAAGGGAATTTTGACATTAACATCCATGAAGTTAATGTTTTAGCAACAAGGTGTAATGAATAAATATATCAATATTAAATATTACACTAAGAGAAGAGAATGGCAGGTTGGTCTTCTGAGTGCCACTAAGAGAATGGCAGGTTGGTCTTCTGTCTGTGCTAAACTCTGATTGTTTTGCTACCTGATCTTTCCCACCATTCCTTCTTGTCTGTCTGTCTGTCTCTCTTGTCCACCTGCTACATCCTGCCTGATGCCTTGGGTAAAATCCATGTTTTACCTCAACTGACTAAAGTGAGAGCAGGATTTGTGCCTCGATTTTGCCTGTTGTAAGGTGTCTCTGACAAACTGTTCATAAGCTCCATGGCACCCTCATTCTTGATGAGGGTTCCCAATGTGGTAATAGAATGACCTCAGTGTCCTTGGCACCATTCAAGATGACAAACACCTCCCCTAAATTTCCATTTCCAGCTGCAGGTATCAGTGCTGACCTCAGCTCTTCCCTCTCCTATTTCACCTTACAGACACATTTAGATATAGTATGTGTGGCCAAGCACATGGTACAAGGAACTCCCTGAGCACTGGAAAGAGGATTCACCCTATGAGCAATCCAACTCAGCAAGCTGGAAATGGCAGACTTTATGGAAATCACTTTCTGGGTTCTGTAATATCAGACAGAAGGTAAAACCCCATGAAGCACAGGGGCAGTGACAGCTACATTTAGAAATAAGAAATCACAATAAGTCTAGTTTTGAGACTAGAAGTGAAAGTTAGTGATTGCATATGGAGGCATGAATGCCTGAGAACAGTGAAACAGTTTTTTGAGCTCTCCATGCTTACCTCAGCAGGAGAATTGATAATGGAGGTCTGCAACCCATACTGGAAAGCTCCACCAATGCCCAGAACAAAAGCCAGGAGAAAAAGGTTGTGGCTCATTTTCTGGCAGGAAATAAAAACAGCAAACAAAGCTGGTACAGCTATTCAGACATGCCCTCAAGTGTCCTGTGTTTTCCTTGGGAACTCCAACAGTTTGAGCAGTGCCACACACCTACCTCCTCTGAGACACAGAGCCAGCAATAGAAAACCACAGCTACTAAAGCACGGGACGGGGAGAAATCTGAGACACAAAGCTCATAGCTCAGTTACACACTTCAGTGCTTCTCTCTTCAGCTTTGGCTGTCTTAATCTGCACTACCACAGGGTAACTGGTTGAGGGAGCATGATGCATTGTGCAAGCATTTTGTGAACAATTCCACCTATTTGTCCTTTCTGATCTTCCTTTCCCACTTGTTAGCTCACCTAAATGAATATTTTGCTCAGTGATTTGGCTGAGACTTGATAAACAATTGGGGATTGGAAGGCCTAGAACAGATCATAGGAACATCATCAAGGACTGCCAAACCTTTACAACCTGATTTCTAATCAGGTGAATGCCATTGTGTGAATGGGCATCAAATTTATCCATGCTGCAACATTGCTGACCTCAAAGGAGTCAGCTCTGAATAAATTTGGTATTTGGTACATTCATTTATTAAATGACAACAGCCTCCTGTTTGTTGAAGCACTAGGAAGAAATGAGATTCACAGTTGCTACTACTAGACATCCCTACTACCCCTCATGGTACAAAAAATCCTACATCAGCATGAAACTTCCCATCAGCAAGAAAGTCTGACAGCTCTATTCTAGGTGCAAATTTTAGATCACAACTGCAGCAAATTTCTTAGTCTCATCTCCACTTTGCACTGTAACACCACTGCTTCATTTTGCTGTTGCACCTCTCGGATTACTTTTCCAGTCTTATAGATTTGAAATTTAAGAAGACTTTTAAAACTAAATATTCATAATAGAATTGCTTTTAAAAATTTTTTTTTGCTTTATTTTTTGTCTGTTTCTATGCTTCCTTGACTGGAAAGAATTGGTTTCTATCCTTAGATGTTTCTATCTTTCAGGTACTTTGTTATCATAACTCTTTTTCAGTCTTCAGTCCTCCTCCATCTATCAAACTTTAGCTTCACATTGTTGCTCTTCTCTTGAACTCCCTTGGATTGTCTTCACTGTTATGCATCAGATATTAAATGTTCTCTTAAATCCAATTTTCTTTACTTTCTAAAATTAATTCCTGGCACAATACTTGACATCTTTCAGATATGACTTCACACTCTTATTTTTACTCCATCTGATTGAGATTTATTTTCCTTTCTGTACTGAACTTATGCAACAGGTCTTTTAGAATAGCAGAAAGGAAAAATATGCACTGCAAAAACTCTATTTGGGGAAAAAAGAGAAAAGAATATACCAACTTGCATGCACAGGTAGTCATCCCCGCCTGCAGACTAGGTCTTTCCTGATGCTTTCCTTGGTTACTTTGGAAAAAGTCACTCTATATATAGAGAAAGAGGAGCCTGAGATAATATTTCAACACGTCATTTCATTCTTTGTTGGTGTTTACACTCCCTTTGGTTTGCAATGAAGTTCTCGCTGTTTGGTTTGTCATTACTGTGCTGGTTACTGATGAAGCTGAGGATAGTTTTGGTGAGCTGTGTGCTCATACCAGGTCTCTAGGCATGTCCCTAGGCATGTGCCAGCTGAACAACAGTAAGAGCTGCAGGAGATGAGTAAGGGAAAACAAAAAAATGCACTGATCAAAGTCAAAGTCCAGAGCCTGGCACAAACCAGAGTGGACTGGCTTGGACTCCCCAAGTCATCAGCTGGGTAATCAGTTATTGCATTTAAAGGAAAAGTTTCTGGCTGCTACCTTGAGCCTCAATACAGCAAAACCTTTGGAAGCCCAACTTGCCAAGCCTGACTACACCTGTGCATCCAGCTCTTGAGTTATGGGGTCAGTTGACTCTTTCAGAGTAATGGTCACTGGCTGAAAGTTCAGCTTTGTGTCCCTATAATACATGGCAGGTGCTAGGAATGTTCAATGTCACTTTTAAATCCTGACTGCAAAATAAATAAATGACATCTTTATTTTTATCCATAATTCTTGAAGGACCTCTTTATCTAACAGTCTCCAAGATGGTTCTGTTGAAAGGCTTTTACAAGTTATTCAGACAGCTTAGGAGGGAATTCCTTCTCCTGGTGAGTGGCTGCACTTGGTGGTTCCCTAGTCTTGGATGCTGCATGTCCCTGGTGTCTAGAAGAACCCCAACCTCAGGTGGGTTGGAGTGAGAGCTGATTTATGCAGAGGAGCAATGTTTGAGGACAGCAGCAGTAACTATTCTTCTCTTCTGCAGTTTATTAATCAATCCAACAGTGCAGGATTATTAGATTTGTAAACAGTAGTATCAGCTATGAGTCACCGAGGATCACTTTTCAAGATGTGTTTTTACTTAACACTTTACATGGTAAGAAAATCTGAGCAAGTGTTATATCTTTCTTCAGTTGAAAGTGTTTTAATTCAGTATCAATTAACCAACTTGTGAAATGCTTCAATTAAAATTTAACAAATTAGATCAAACGAAATGTAACCATTGTTTGTGTTTGCTTAAACAGTCTAAAGACTCCTGATGTCAGGCCACAGACACAAAAAATGCTGGAAGCTGGAATTAGTGTTTTCTGCCACATGCTCTCACAGGACTGGCTCTGGAACTCAGGAAGTCAAGTAAATATGTGTCATTTCTGAACAGGCATGTTTCTTACTGAGAGGTGCAGACAGCCTGTGTCATTCCAGGGCTCTGGGGAAAGGCACAGTGCTGACTCATGGGAGCAGCCACAGAGGTGCCAAGGTGAGGACCTCTGGACACTGCAGGACTTCTCTCTTCTCTGACCTGTATATCCAGCAGTGCATGCCAGGCCTCTCCCTCTGCCCAGGCAATCTCCTCAGTTGATCCCCTGCTTCCCAGCCTGCATCCTTTCTACTGCCTTCTGTGCTTCACTTCTGTCCTTTCTCTGGTCCTCACCAAAAGAATGTTGGAATATTTTGCTACCATCATGATGGTACCAGCAATTTTTCCTTTGACTTTGTGTTTTACTCTTTCCATTTGCCCCTCACTGTTCTCTCCAAACTACAGAAAGTATCTCTTCAGTTCCCAGATCCATGGAGTCCTGCTCCTGATGGTTTTATCTCAAAATCCTGCACATTTCAAAATCTCAGTGCTGTCCAAGATCAGAGGCACCTGCTCTTGCCCATGTCTGTATATGAATGACTTCTAAAATGCCAGCAACCACAAAGGAACAAAAATTTACTTTTATTTTTTGTATGTTACAAACTTTAGGTAGTCAAAGGGAGTTCATGCACAGACTCCTTTTCTGAGAAATAGATCTGCTGCTCCACTTAGGCCCAGCTGGTCAGTAATACACTCTGGAAACATTCACAGTCTTGGCATTCGAAAGTGCTGTGTTTTTCTGAAAAATGTAGTTCAAAATACACTGAAAGAAACTTTACCTACTTATCTTGAAAATTTAAGTGTTCTTCTTTGCTGTAACCATCAGCAGTGCTGCGACTTCCATACAAACAAAGTCAAAAGAAAAGAGATGGCTTGATTAGGATTTTGAGAAAACACTGAAAGAACCCAGTCAGCCCAATGCCTGTGAAAGGCCACATGAAATGAGGAGCATTGCCTTGTTCTGTATCAGGTTAACTAAATAGAATCAGTATCACATCTGTGTCTTTTCTGATGTGCCCTGTGGAGACACAAGAACATGCCACAGAGAACGTTCTGCCGTGATCTAAATCTCCACATCCAAAACAAGCTGCTGCCATATGAGCTCCTTGCCACACTTAACCTGAGCAGAGCACAGGTGCAAAACTCTACAAGATGAACCAGCAGTGGCCATGAGAGCAGTACAAACTGGGCTGGAGAATTACTTGCACTTTACAACATAGGACTGGAAGACAACAAACAGGCCATGAAGAAAACCAGTCCAGAGTAAATAGTCTGCCAAACAATGCCCAAAAGTCCGTTGTATAATAAGCCACTTACTTAGCAAGTACTAGAAGCTTTCTTCCTAATCCATCTGTCACATGCTTTTATAGCTGAAAATAATTAACTGCTCACTATTGCTCAACAAGTAGGGATCTATTTGAAATCACTTAATAACAGAAACAACAGGAGCACCAAGACAAGGTACTGAAAATTTCATTTGGTGTCTGTAAACAGAATTTAATCGCATTAATATCTGTGTTAGAGAGCCAAGATTCATGGCCAAGGAAAGAAAGGCTGCTGAGATGGAAGTTACTGTTTGGGTGGAGGAGAAATATAGAACTTCTGAAGAAATTTGCTAAGCATTACATGGAGTTGCTTGATGATAAGAGAACAAGGCATCACTCTGTCACTCTCTAACATGGAATCTAAAATATGTGTTGCTCAGTCCTGGCAACTGAGAATAGTTTATTAACTTTTGCTTGGATTTATCAGTTCAGGTGTATGTTTTCAAGGTGAATGTAAGAACCTAAGAGTAATACTTCTCTCTTTGTGTCCCTGCAAGAGAACATAGCCACTGCCAAATCCACTGCTGAACTTCCCCCAGGTACCATCTTCATTTCTTCTGCTACAATGTGGTGGTTTTGATCTCTTCGGGTCCTTTATAAAAACCTGCATGTGTCTTAGTTTTGAAGTTCTGTTTCTTGAACTCCTCTGAGATTTCCAGGAAGGACTTTCCTTTTGTCTCAGGAAGAAAAAACCCAACGTAGAGTGCAGTGCAGACACAGACCACAAGGAATGGGACGTAGCAGAAATGTGCTAGACTTTGCTGAGAAGCAGGAGAAAAACAAGACAATGTTGGTGACATGTTCTGTATGATGACAAATAGGCCACTAATCCTTGTTCCTGCATGGACTAAGGTCACCCAGGGAGTATTTCTGTGCACCCTGGTGAGGGCCACGGGAGCCTGGAGGCAACCCCTCCCCAGCACAGGTTGGGAGATTTCACATAGCAGGAATAGCATTTCAAAATGCCTTTTTCTGTCTTTCTCTCTATGTATAATTGTCCAGAATGGGAACCCACAGTAGGAAATAAGACAGGAATGGATATGGTGGAGATCTACTCCCTTTCACTTCAGGAATCACCTTAGGTAATGGTGCCAGGGTCTGGCCAAGGAAAATTATATGACATCTTTAGTCCCAGCTGTTCTCAACTGAGGTCAGAGCAGGAA